GCAGCAATCCAGGTTGAGTCCTTCTTAGGTCAAATGACTTCTGCCTCCCTCTTCCACTTTTAAGGACCCTTTTGATAACACTAGTTCCACCCAGATAATCCAGGACAGTCTTCCTCTTTTGAGGTTAGCCTTTACTCAATTTACAACTTTAATCCCCCTATGCCATGTAAGATAGCATATTCTCAGTTTCCGGGGGATTAGGACATGGACATCCTGGGGGGGTGGGGGGATGATAAAGAAGAAAAGAGGCCAGGAAAGGAGAACAAAAGAAAGGAACCACAGTGACGCCACTTTAAAAAATGTAATTGAGGGCCGAGCCCATGGCGCACTCGGGAGAGTGCGGCGCTGGGAGCCCAGCAGCGCTCCCGCCGCGGGTTCGGATCCTATATAGGGATGACCTGTGCGTCACAGCGCTCACTGGCTGAGTGCGGTGCTGCCGGTCTCAAAAAGGACAAAAAAAAAAAAAATGTAATTGACTTGTTTTCTTCTAGCCCAAGAAAAAAAAAAAAAAAAAAAAAAAAAAAAAAAAGAAGTAAAAGCTTAGGAAAGGGAGACCAACTGTGCATGACTCTAGTATAGAACTATTTAACTCCAATACCACACTGATGTTTAAAGATTCAAAGTTGCAGCATCTTACCACCTAGGCATTTGGATTAAAGTAGTAATTTGTGAATATCTTTGAAGCAATGGAACCCCTCTTCAATGAACTCTTAGGCAAAATCCAATACAGAAAACAGATAAACAACACAAGTACTTTGGTTCAAGTAGTGACAGAAGATTGGGAGACATAAACAGCTCCTGTCAGAAAGCACCTGAACTAAGAGCACAGTGTGAAAACAAGTGGGCTAGGAGCTGAAAGAAAAAGGGAAAAAGCATAGAAATATGAATCTAGGTACTACATTTGCTGAGACAGTTATATAGTTGTATGCCGAGAAGGTTAATGGTTGTGGTCTTTAGAAATGCAATCAGGCTTACATTTGGAAATGGTGAGAAAAAGATAAAAATACCACACCTAACAGGTCTGCAGAGAAGGAAAAAATAAGACATCAAATTTCTTAACATTGTTAAAATTATGATAAACAGGGCTGGCTGGTTAGCTCAGTTGGTTCGAGAGAGGTGTTATAACACCAAGGTCAAAGGTTCAGATCCCCATATCAGCCAGCCATCAAACAAAAACAAAAGCAATCCAAACAAACAAACAAAAACCTCCCAAATAAAAATTAAATAATGATTAACAAATTCAAAATTTTGGAGGCCCACAGTAACATAAGGGCCAGAGTGTATCACAAGCTCCTCAAGAGGGTCCCAGTAGTCAATGACCAAGATCTAGCTCAAGAGTTGGCAAATTTTTTCTATAAAGGGTCAGACAGTGAAAAACTTAGACTCTGCAGACCATATGGAGCTCTGTCACAACTACTCAACTCCACTATGTAGCCCAAGAGCAACCCATAGACACTACAAAAAAAATGTTTCAAAAAAACCTTACAAAAACGAGTGGCAGGCTGGATTTGGCTTATAGGCTACAGTTTGCCAATACCTGATCTAGCTAATGGCCAAGTTCCAAATCAACAATATACCTCAAACCCCTCTAGAACTCTGAGCCTTTCAACTAAGCCCTGTGAAAAATATGAACCACTTTCCTTTACAGAAGATGAATGAATGGTGGTGGTAAACAAAGAACAAAGGGGCAATAAAAAGCATATTGAAAATCTCACTTCTGTAGAGGCCAGATACCAAAATAAATAAATAAATAAATAAATAATCTCACCTACCCTTCCTCAACTTCATTGTTCCGCCGATCACATCAACTAGAATTTAGCCTATAATCCTGACCTTCAAGGTTCTAAGGAATACTGGACTCTGTGCTGCCCAAATATATCCATTTTTTTTTGAAGGGGGGGCGGGAGTGGCCAGTATGGGCCAACTATACCCATTTGAAGGAGAGTTCTCTAGTTTATAAACTGGCTCAGGGTTGAAGTGTAGGTCAAATAATCCAGGTGGTAGCTACACTCTATTAGAATCTCGATATCTGCCTTCAAATCCGCCCTAGACCCAGTGATTTAACACTTAGCAGCACTGACCCTGAAAAAGTGAGGTAAGGACAGGGGATAGGGGGAAGGCAGGCCCAATCCCAGTTGAGACTGTAACTTCATCTCTTATCTAATATCTCTGTGAAACTATGACCTACCATGGAAAGGGACTTCTCAGTATAACTGGGGAGCCTCATTTTCCTGATAACTCCCTTGTTCCCACCACCAATCAGATCTTATTTTTCTCCTTTATTAACAGCCAACTCCTAGGTTCTGCCCACCCTCGTATAGCCTTTCAGAATTCCAAACCACTTGAGCTCTTAGAAATACAGCTCAATTACTGATCTTCTGAAAACAATCAAATAAAATTTGAAGGAGCAAAGCACCAGATAGTCCAAGATGTTGCCTGTATGGTTTCCTACACTCCCAACAATACAGGAAGGGTTCCTTCCCTCACTGAAATCCAGGTCTCCATTCTATCTTAGGGGAAGGAGAACCTCAGCTGACAATAAAAATAGCTTCACTTTCATTTTGGCCCCTTACCATTAGCTAAGTCTGTTTTGCCATCTGTGCTGCTCCCTTTGCTGGACATCTTGAATGATGTTTGCTGTAGCCAGCCTGGATTTGGGAGAGAAAGAAAATGAAATAATTAGGAAAAGATGACAAAAGAGACAAGGAGATTTAACAATGTACAAGCTTTGTCATTTTTATAAAAATAATTTGTGTATGCATTCTTAACAGGGCTTCTCAGCAGCTGAAAAGCACACCAGAAGTTATTTTTTCCTGTCCAAATTCAATAAAGGAATATATTTTAGGGAGGTCATCACCATCTCTTTACCTTATTCATTAAGTAACTGGCAGTATTTTTTCAGATGAGAAAGAGGGAACTGAAATAAAACCTGGAGCAGTAGGCACATATCAAGTGACAGATACTGCTAGCAAAGAGCCTCAACTCAATATAAAAAGCTAGCTCTAGCATTGCCCTCTAGGCAAGAATCTTCCACTGTAAATAACAGTCATATGTATCCACAAACTCTGAAAAACACTTGTTTTCACAACACAAAGTCAGATTCTGAATATCATTCTACACACAAATCAACACAGAGACAAAATCAAGCTCTTGGGAGAAGAGCTTGGGCTTTATGCTCACTCAGATGACTAGCTTCAAATTTATTACACGCACCTAAGAAAGAACCTTAAAATAACACACACCCCCCCCCCCCCCCCCCCCCCCCCCCCCCCCCCCCCCCCCCCCCCCCCCCCCCCCCCCCCCCCCCCCCCCCCCCCCCCCCCCCCCCCCCCCCCC